ATTTGGCTGCCATGGCCGCTATTTTGCTACTAAGTTCTAATAGGCCGATCTCACTTAAAATTGGTCTAGGAATGATCAGCTCATGGTCCTGACAAAGTTAAGTTAACATTATACTATTTTTTACTCAAATTGGTACATATTTCAACAACAAAAATAAATACTGTAGACTCAGGTGACCGTTTAGGCCCATGGGCCTCTTGTTTTTTAAATCAAAGATCATGATCTTATTCAGAAATGACTCACCAGGTCCTCAATGTTTATTTCACTTTTGCAGACTATAGAGGCAGAAATGAACAACAATAATTACAATGATGTGCTGATGTTGACTGTGTTTGATGTGACGTTCTTCATCCTCATCACAACCATCGGCCTCAACATCATATTCGGTATCATCGTAGATACCTTCTCCCAGCTCCGAGACTCCAAGGTAGGCAGATGGTGTACTTCTATACTGTATCAATGGCTTCCCACCTTTAACGAAAGCATAATAAAACAGTAACACATGTGGAAGAATGAAATGACACGCTGTCTTTAATTATTCAGGAGGTCTGCAGTATTTGAATCTTATAAAAATTCTACTTAACTGATTAACACAATGTCTTGAATAAATTTTAAAAAAAATGCTTTACCATACACTAAGTCTCGCCGCCATTTTCATTATCAGAAATGTGTTAATACATTTCTTTCCCCAAGAAAAATACATGAGTGTTTTCCCCATCTTTATGTTCCATAACTGATTAATGTACATTTTCAGATAAGCTTAATGCTAAAATTCCTTCCAACTTTTAAGTAACTAGTTTCATAAAAATGCCATATACTGGGAATCAGTATTGTCCTGGTCCATCTACTTGTTTACACTTGTATCAGTAAATGTTACACGACAGTTTTAAAACAATTAGCAACCTTCAGGCATTACAATGTCATGATAAAGGAATTAGAAAATTCGAAATTGCAATATGAATTAATTATACTAAATGTATGCTAAACCTTAGTGTTTCTGTTAATTCATGTTTGTGTACTTTTAGTGGGAAATTGACAAAGACATGATGAATAACTGTTTCATCTGCAGTCGGGAGAGCTACGACTTTGAGAGACAGGGTGGTGTAAGTGTACAACTGTTATTTTATTGAAATTTTGATTTAATTAATGTATGATTTGTTCACATCATATTTGTATTACTTCATATGTTTATTACAAGATGGATAATCCTAGGTGTGTTTATAATCCTGGCTTTAGCCAAGCATAATAAATAGTTTATGTTGACTTAAGTTTTCATTGATTTTTGATAGAATTTATTGTCAACATTTATGGTAAGTAAATCAGAATTATTATTGTCAACACTTACGGCCATTAAAACAAATAACCTTGATGCTTGTTTTAACCTTTGACCTAACAGGGATTTGAAAAACATGTGAGGGAAGAACACAATCAATGGGCTTACCTGTTCTTCTTTATACACCTTGACGAGACACGCCCCAATGACTACTCCGCCCTGGAACTCTACGTCTTTAAAATGGTGAGTGACCATTTCAATAGCTAGAACACATTCTTTGTGATAATTGATGACCAAATTTATCTTTTTTAATGGCAAGTATAAAAACCCTTTTAAATGGTGTCAGACGTTGCTTCAATGTTTCAGACTTCATCTAAACCAATGACCGAAACACTTACAATATGTGTAGGGCCTAACTTACTGGTAATGTTCAGGATACCTGACATTATGTGTAGGGCCTTACTTACTGGTAATGTTCAGGATACCTGACATTGCTCAATCATACCAAAACACTTACAATATGTGTAGGGCCTAACTTACTGGTAATGTTCAGGATACCTGATATTGCTCAATCACAATATGTATAGGGCCTAACTTACTGGTAATGTTCAGGATACCTGACATTGCTCAATCATACCAAAGCCTTCAAAATAAAGAAGTAATTCATTCTTAGCATACTGAATCCTTCTTAAACGCATCTTAGGTAGAACATCTCAACCCATGCATCAGATGCTGGATGCGGCCTACCTTTCATGGTACATTGACTTTGTCAGCATCTCCATCAACATAGGTTTTTGCATTAAGTTAGTTTCTCTGAAACTATGAGTCCTAGACCAACCAAACTGGACATGAGCATTGATGGTCAAAAGGGGACACAGGCGAGACATATCAATCCAAACGGCTTGTTAACAAAGCGGGGCACAGGCGAGACATTTCAATCCAAACGGCTTGTTAACAAAGCGGGGCACAGGCGAGACATTTCAATCCGAATGGCTTGCTAACAAAGCGGGGCACAGGCGAGACATTTCAATCCAAACGGCTTGTTAAAAAAGCGGGGCACAGGCGAGACATATCAATCCAAACGGCTTGTTAACAAAGCGGGGCACAGGCGAGACATATCAATCCAAATGGCTTGTTAACAAAGCGGGGCACAGGCGAGACATATCAATACGAATGGCTTGTTAACAAAGCGGGACACGGGCGAGACATATCAATCCGAATGGCTTGTTAACAAAGGGGGGCACAGGCGAGACATATCAATACGAATGGCTTGTTAACAAAGGGGGACACGGGCGAGACATATCAATCCGAATGGCTTGGTAACAAAGCGGGGCACAGGCGAGACATATCAATCCAAATGGCTTGTTAACAAAGCGGGGCACCGGCGAGACATATCAATCCAAATGGCTTGTTAACAAAGCGGGGCACAGGCGAGACATATCAATACGAAGGGCTTGTTAACAAAGCGGGACACGGGCGAGACATATCAATCCGAATGGCTTGTTTACAAAACGGGACACAGGCGAGACATATCAATCCGAATGGCTTGGTAACAAAGCGGGACACAGGCGAGACATATCAATCCGAATGGCTTGGTTATAATACATGTACATGAAATGATTTTTTTTTTGTCATATGTTCAGTTGTATAACACAAAAAGAAATCATTAAAATCAGTTGGTGAATAGAGCAAAGTAGAACTTTACAACCATACAACCAACCGTGTTGTTCTTTGATAGCAAGGTAAAAAATTAAATTACAAAGGAAATAATTACTGTGTATATTGGTAAGAGGCATAGGACAAATCGTTACTCAAAACTTGAAAGAAAAATGCAACGACAAAAAATACATGAGATATCAAACAAATAGAGATACCATGATTTCTTCAAACATGGGAGGCCAATCTAAATCATAAGGCCAAACTAAAACATAAGGCTAAACTAAAACATAAGGCCAAACTAAAACATAAGGCCAAAATAAAACATAAGGCCAAACTAAAGCATAAGGCCAATCTAAATCATAAGGCCAAACTAAAACATAAGGCTAAACTAAAACAAAAGGCAACTAAAACATAAGGCCAAACTAAAACATAAGGCAACTAAAACATAAGGCCAAACTAAAACATAAGGCAACTAAAACATAAGGCCAAACTAAAACAAAAGGCCAATCTAAAGCATAAGGCCAAACTAAAACATAAGGCAACTAAAACATAAGGCCAAACTAAAACATAAGGCCAATCTAAAACATCAGGCCGGCCAATCTAAAACATCAGGCTAATCTAAAACATCAGGCCAAACTAAAACATGAGGCCAATCTAAAACATGGGCCAAACTAAAACATAAGGCCAAACTAAAACATCAGGCCAGCCAATCTAAATCATAGAGCCAATCTAAAACATCAGGCCAAACTAAAGCATAAGGCCAAACTAAAGCATAAGGCCAAACTAAAACATAAGGCAACTAAAACATAAGGCCAAACTAAAACATAAGGCCAATCTAAAACATCAGGCCGGCCAATCTAAAACATCAGGCTAATCTAAAACATCAGGCCAAACTAAAACATGAGGCCAATCTAAAACATGGGCCAAACTAAAACATAAGGCCAAACTAAAACATCAGGCCAGCCAATCTAAATCATAGAGCCAATCTAAAACATCAGGCCAAACTAAAGCATAAGACATAAGGCCAAACTAAAACATAAGGCCAAACTAAATCTTTCGGAGCATTTCCTTGTCTAAATATGATGTACAAGAAAAAAAATTCTGTCAAATCTAACGGAGAAAGTAGGTCACCAGATATCGGCCACAATGATTGACTGTTACTCCAATAATGACAGACCCTGAAAGGTCATTGTTGGAGGTCATGATGGTGACTACTATTATATAGAGTACTAATATCTGTGTTTCTGATTTGCACAAACAGTTGCAGACAGCCAAGTACGATTTCTTTCCGTTGAACCGTGCACTGAGTCTTCAGAACGAGGAGGATACTAATGAGAGGAAGCTTGAACAACTCCGCCTCTCCATTGAGTACATGGTCAACAAGATGAAGGAAGAGGTATATATTCATAGCTCATACACGCATACACATGATAGAGATAGACTTGTCAATGTATGCTAGAATATTGAACAAGCATTTTGGTTGCAGTTTTATAAGAAAAAAAGCCAATAATTTGTTCATTGTGACCCCACTTTACAAATTCTATTCCCCGGTAAATGTTTTAAACCACATCACATGTATGCTACCAGCATGTGCATCAACAATCCCACAATCCACGCTATTTTGTTTCTCAACTTTTGATGTTGTGATGGAAATATCAGACAGATTTTCACAATTATTTCATTGTTTTATTAAACCTTTGAGTAGGTCTGGGATTTAAGATTTTTACAATTATTTCATTGTTTTATTAAACCTTTGAGTAGTTCTGAGATTTAAGATTTTTACAATTGTTTCATTGTTTTATTAAACCCTTTGAGTAGGTCTGGGATTTAAGATTTTTACAATTATTTCATTGTTTTATTATTTTAAGATTTAAGATTTTTACAAACCTTTCCTTTTAAACATGCACATCATACTAAATCATTCTGTAACAAAATGCAGCTTTCCCTAAATCTGTATTTGATATTTTCAATACTTAATATTATTTTAAAATTTGTTTATGTATGCCATACTTTTTACCGTTTAGGAGGCAACACGAGAACGGGAAAAGGAGAAGAGGAGGCAGTTGGCATGGGAACAGCAGCACAGGAAATAGATGGCAGTGTTGCTTTATCGACAGACCCAACTCTAAGTCCGTAATGACCACACTTCTGCAGACATGGCTGTGCTTGGAACTTTTTCTGTGCGCCAATGAAACATGATTATCATTATTCTGGTGGCTTGTGACAATCCTTAACAAGTATTTGTGATATTTTCCTTGACAAAGTATTGTGATATTTTCTGTTATAATAATATAAATAATGTATATCAGCTGTGTTTCAAAAAATTTTATTATAGATTTGACTTGGCTTTTATTATACTCTGATGTCATACAAACAGAATCCTAAGTTACATTTAGGTATAACCAGATGCTTTATCATTATTCGGCAGCTTTGGCAAGGAAATGTGAAAAGGATTTCTTTTTGGTCTGTTTAGTTTGAAACATGAATTGAAAACTGTATAGCTTCATTTTTTGGTGTTTTTTTTTCTGTTTAACTCATCTGATTCAATGGTTTTTCATGAAAATTACATCAGGGATAAAGGAAGCATTATATAATATTTAGTTTTGAAGCAAAAATATATATCATATGTTAAATTCTACAATATAGAAATAGACTTGTTAACTAATTTGTGCCAAATAAGTTCACAGAAGTATATTCTGTTTCAACAATAGATATATATGTATGGATTCACATTGAGTTTTGTGGAGCAAGCCTAGCTGAGTCAACCAAAAGGGTAGCTTCACTTTGATGTAATACAATAGGGTTATTGTTGTCTAGACAAAATTGGACAATTCATTTAAAGAAAAACCATGTTATTGTATAACCTTTATTAAAGATTGCTAATGGTAGATTTAGTGTTGCTTTGATCCTCGACAACCTTTGAAATATTTTTTAACCAAGTGTCAATATTAGCTTTAAATTGTTATGACTTGGTGGTTTTTTTTGGATTAGAATACATTATGCTGTAAAATACTTCCACATTGCAATATATTTACTTGAGCAATAATTCAGATGGAGACACAGCAGCAGGTTAAAAGTCCTGTTGTTGAAAGAATTATAGCAAACAATATTTACATTGCAGTATTTTTTCCACAGAAATAACTAACATTTGGAAGTAATAGGGTGTAACCATGACAGTGTGATAATTAAAACATCACTTCAGGTTAAAGTTGCATTAGATGACATAATTATATATATTGACGACAATTTACATTTGAAAAAATAAATAGTATAGGTTACAAACTAACACAATATACTTGTGACGTCTACCACTTATTTATAAAACAATGCTCTATTATTTTTACTTTTCTATTTATAGAAGTGAACCTGTTGTCAGAATGTTTATTTTTGTATCATTCTGCTGACAACTAGCCACTTTTGTAATGATGCTTGACATATTTATAGAAATATATAAAGCTTGTGGTTTTATGAAATTACTGAAAAGTGTTGTATTGAATTTTAAGGGTGTGACTGGTATAAACTGAATTACAATCATGGTCATATGTCGTTCAATTATTTTTATGAATTTTTGATCAATATGAAAATTATTTATTCTGATTTATCTTGAGTGTTGTTTTCTATATTTATTTCTTGAAACTGTCACTGTCACATTTGTTGAATGAATGTTTTATCGTTTTTGATGAGTGTGAATTCTTTAAAAATTCTTCAATTGTCTTAATATGATTAATTTAATTGTACACATTCAAGTTTATGTAAAGGCAAATTAATGTTACTCTATGTAGTAGATCCTGTATAACCATGAAATCTGTATCAATGGTACATTGAACAATTCCCCATTGTGTATCAAAATTTCTACAGAACTTGAGCGTGCAGAAAGGGTAAAAACATACTGACAACACAAATCGATTCTACAATCATGAAACATTACCTAATCACAAATAGAAGCCAGATAAGAGAAAAAAGTTTATATAAGAAAATGTGAAACATTGTGAAGTGCTCGGATCTATTTGATGTGACTTAAAAAGGTTGATGAGTATGATTCATTATTATTGTTATTTTGTTCTTGTTTATTTTGAGAAAACTACTGTGTTCTGATATACTTTGCTGACCTCTGCTGGTATGTTTTTTCCATTGTTCAGTCATTACTTAAAGTAGGGAGAAAATAAAAGACCTAGAAAATATACATGTAAAACATGTTATTGCTGTAAACCAACAATTTTTGAAAGGTTTGAGTATTATTTTCAGTAACCGACCCAGCAAAATGTTGTGTCACCTAAATGAACAGTTCAGTAAAATAATGCTGTGATAATTAATCCACCTCCATTATACTAATGATATAAATACTACATTACTGGGAATTAATCCACCTCCATAATACTAATGATATAAATACTACAGTACTGGGAATTAATCCACCTCCATTATACTAATGATATAAATACTACAGTACTGGGAATTTACCATATTTCGAGAATGGTATATTATTTTGCCTCATTTATTCAACGTATTTATTAAAGATTATTTGAATAACAGGATATTGTTGTTCTGATATGAGAACACTTTATAATAACTAGTTTAAATTAAAGTACATATATGTTGATGAAAACTCCAAATGAAAACCCATATACCTATGTATAGATTTATATAAATGTTGTCTCTATTTTCTGCACAGAAACTTGTCATGTGTCCTGATCGCAATCTACTACTATTAAATGGCTTACTTTTCGTGGAAACCGAAATGTATATAACCCTATGGTATATAATGCAGGGTTATGTTTGTGTCAAATCACGATATATATTTGAATTTGACCCTCAGTTATCTTTATTGAAACATCTAGTCTATTTGCTTTAGTTATATATAGTGTATGAACCCAATGCTCAACCTGCCTTTCTGATTACGTACCACTAACAAAAAAATATTCTTTTCTCAATAAATTCAATCCAAAATATCTCGGTCTATATTAACAAATTACAGTTGTAACAGCTGTGTTAAATAGAAGGAAATATAGGATGGCCACGAGATATATCGTTTACATTTGGTACAAGTCATTACCAGGTTATATATAAAGCATACACCTCTGTAGCTTGATTTTAGGTTTTATTGGTACTGTACAAGGTAGTTACGACAAACCTTGAATCTGTACTTGGATATTTAACATGGTTTTGTTGGGTAGATCTTCATTTGTTCTTGTCAACTTGTATCAGCATTATAACCATTGACCTCTGTATTTGGATGGTACGGCCCTTACCAATGGTGGAATGGTGAATATCAGACGAGAAAATGTTTAAACGTACCCGTATATGAAATTCTTTAAATGGTTCAATTTTATAATAATATGTGTATCTGATCACGGTAATTCTGTCAGTCCTCTATGGGTAATACTAAATATGCATTTCCTCACGCCATGAACTAGCATTTGAAGTTTTAATAGATCACGTTAAAATGCAGAGCGGTCCTCTACTAGGAAAGTTTTATGTTCAGTGACTGAAAACAGCTCCTTTATCCAGTTATTGTTACATTGTAACTGTAGAATGTGTTTTTTTTCAGTGATATATTTATAAATTGTGCCCATGTTTATCGAGCCTTTTTGTCGTGGACTCTGACTTTTTCCAATAAAACCTACCTTGACTTCTACCTGTATGTGTGTTGTATTGTAAAACTGTCCTCGCTGTTTTGATACCTGATCCATGAATAGCTACATGATATACCAGTTTTATAGCGCCAGTCGTTTATTACTTTTAAAACAGTTTGACGGTTGCTCTCCAGAAACCCTTTACAAGACTTTGAAAGCCTAATTTAACATGCACATGCCGCCAGGATTTATCCCCGAAATTGTTACATTATCGGTTCCTTTTACAAGCCGCACAGAAACAACATAGACTTAATGGAACTGGTTAAAGGACTGACAAAGATTTTGGACTCAAAAAGCAAAAATTTAATATTGGCTGGAGATTTCAACTGCCCTGACATTTTCTGGAACAACATGACTAGATCAGAGTGGACAGGATAAAGAAACACAAAACCTACTTATCAATATAACAACAGGAGCATATTTGACACAAATACATGACCAACCAACACGTGAAAACAACATGCTAGACCTCATATTTACTACAAACCCAAGGCTTGCCAAGAGCTCGTACAGTGTACCAGGAATATCAGACCACGACATGCTAGTTACGGACATTCAAACAAAACCTCACTACAATTCCTCAAAAGTGAGGAAGTTCCTTCAATATTCACGTGCATCTTGGGAAAAACTAAAAGAAGACATCACCAAAACATCGAATAAATTAGATCATGACTACAAAAATGATGCAAACGTCAGGGATCTCCGGGGAACATTTAAAGAGGGCCTGCGCAATGCTATGGACACCCACATACCACCAAAAGTGGCACGAACACGAAACAAACTACCATGGATGAAATTTATAGAACGGAAAATGATTAGGAAAAATGAAAAGCTTTACCAACAGGCTAAAAGAACTAACAATTGGAAGAACTATAGACACCATCAAAGGGAATGCAAAAGAAACCTCAGGAGAGCAGAATGGGAGTACATTAACACCAACATTCTAAAAGGTCTCGAAAATAACAACAGCAAACCGTTTTGGAGAATACATCAAATCAAAAAAGCAAGACTCAATAGGAGTAGCCCCCCTAAAAATCAAAGGTACTCTCATCAGTGACAGTCAGTCAAAGGCGGATATATTAGTCCAACAATTTAAATCGGTATTCACCATCGACAAAGACACCAACATACCAGAAACAACAAAACGTGTACAGGAAACAATTCCGAAAATATACGTAGATACAAACGGTGTTGCAAAACTACTCCGGAACTTAAACATATCAAACGTTTCAGGACCATCTGGAATACCAAACAGAGTCCTCAACAGAAACAAGAATGCGCAACAGAAATAGCATTAGGACTCATAAAAACATTTCAAAAATCACTAGATTCGGGAGACTGGAGAAATGCCATATTTAAAAAGGGAGACAAACACTGCGGAAAACTATCGCCCAGTGTCACTAACATCAGTCCCCTGCAAGCTTCTGGAATTCTGGAACACATCATCTGTCGACACATGCTAAAACATCTTGAAAAACATTAAGTACTCACCAATCTAAATCACGGCTTCAGATCTGGTTATTCCTGTGAGACACAATTACTCTTGACTATAAATGACTTCTTAAAAGCGCACGACAATGGGAACCAGGTGGATGTAGCAATACTAGACTTCTCCAAAGCATTTGACATCGTGCCACACAAGAAACTCTTGCAGAAAGTCGCGAGGGCAAGTGCACAAGTGGCTGACGTCATTCTTAACACAGAGGAAAATGAAGGTTGTACTTGAAGGCACAACGTCCCAGGAGGAACACGTCGCCTCCGGAGTACCTCAAGGTACGGTACTAGGACCACTCCTTTTCCTCTGCCACATAAATGAACTTCCAGACTCAAGTAAAATCACAAGTACGCCTTTTCGCCGACGACTGCCTTTTGTACAAACAAATCAGAACATTCAATGACCATAACATCCTCCAAAATGACTTACAAAACCTTGAAGAATGGGCAGATAAATGGGGCATGAAATTTAATGCCAAAAAATGCCACATCATGTCAATTAGGAAAAAGTCATCAGTATTCTATAGTCTGAATAACCACATTTTGGAAGAGGTACAAAACAATCCATACCTAGGACTCCATATATCAAACGGCCTCAAATGTAGTACTCATATAAGCAACATCGCGAGGAAAGCGTGCTCAACTTTAGGCTTTTTGAGAAGAAATTTAAAACACTGCCCAAAAGAGTGCAAGAAAACAGCATATATATCACTTGTTAGATCAATTCTGGACTATGGCAGTATTATTTGGGACTCTCATCTAAAATCACAACACCTAAAACTACCAACCTTACAAAACAGAAGGAAATCACAGCGGCTAGTATTCATGCACACAGTAGTTGAGGGGTTAATACCAGCCCTACCCCCAGATCAGATAATCCAGCACTCTGGAAGGACGCGGAAAAAAAAAGCGGTATGTGAACTATGAAACATCAGCAACATTAAACAGGAACATTGTCAACAACTCAAGGCCATTAACCATCTCAGGATACAAACAGGAAGCATACAAGAACTCCTTCTTCATCAAAACACCGCTGGAGTGGAACCAACTGGATGATATAGTAGTGTGCGCAGAAAGCGTAGAGGGAGTTAGATTAGCCCTTTCAAAGTTCTCTCTCCCGTCGTGTCATGCCATTATTGGTAACTACGACGTATACAATGTAAATGTAAAAAGTAGGCAAACCGAAATCCACAAGCAGAGTCTACCATTTTGTATCACACACACACAAAAATTTGGTGCCAAAAATTAATAACACTGTATCTACGGAATTCGATCAGATGCTATCCAAGTCCATGCTGTATCAAAAAGCCGTTTTGTCCTTCTAAGACTAATCGTTGATGCCTAAGGCCAAACATTGCAAATGAAAACCTTTGCAATTATATAATAATTTAAAATCAACTATACGCTTATAACCTACACAGCACAATAATCATGTATTCACAGTACAATGTCTAGTCAGCCATCCATGGCTGGGCACAGTCGTACCCATTGTATTGTAACACTTGTAATTTATATTATGTGTTTGACACGTAAAGAAAGAAAATATATTGTTATTAAAATTATGAAAATAACAGTACAACTTAGCATATTCATAATGATATGATTAATATAAAGATATATAGCATAGCCCTTATCTCTGTAAGTGTACTGGTCGGTGGGATTTCTCCGGGAACTCCGGCTTTTCTCCACCAACAAAACCTGGCACGTCCTTAAATGACCATACCTGTTAATAGGACGTAAAACACAAACAAACTTAAAAGCTCTTTATGGAAGCGGAGCGTTTCCTGATGACGAGTTTAACAGACAATGCGTACAAAATTTACATTCAAGAACTATTTTGAGTATAAAATAGGGTAAACCGTACCTATTTCTGGAGCAGGGTCATATGCAAGTTAATTGTAGTTCTGCAAAACGGAAACTAATACGCTCCTGTAAATTCCATTAAAATTGAGGAAGTATTTACAGTAATCAATTAACGATCACATATCTGATATACATACGCAGGTATCAATGGAAGCGGAAGATTTAAAATTCAGAAAATTTATTATTGTGAAGTAACTACAATTTCTTACCTGTTCTGTCTCACGTCTGCTCCGTCTTAATGTATCTGTCAGCGAACGTCAATTGTTGCGCAAAACAGACCGGTAAAAACTCAAAGACTGTGCAAAGGTTAACAACGGCCAACAACTCTTAATTCCGCATTTTGGCGATATCTCGTTTGGGATTCTGATCTGATATTTTTCACGAATTCTTGTTTGAGATGTAGTCATCTGATGTATTGATAACGATACTGTTACGGACAGATATTGAAGAGACCAATACAATGAAAACAACAGAAAACAATACAATGCTATTTTCGTTTCCTAATGCAACACTTGCTTTTAGCGTCGCTAATGCCAGCAAAATGATTTCTGTCTCCTGACCGAAACGAACTGACGTCCTAAATATTGGTACTTACTGTTATATTCAGCTTTGGTGACAGTGAAGACTGGTTCTTCCGCAAACACTGTCAGCCTCACGGGTCTAGTGCTTACAGAACCCCGAACTAACGATACGGAAAGATACAAAATGAGAGACAGCTAATTCCTCCACACTGCCTTATTCTTGACGCTTAGTGATGTTGATCAGGTGTCGGTACCCTCATGATCATATATTGCGCCAATTATATATAACTGTCTTACATTACCCCAGATATGTGATTTTCCCATCTTCAATTGTATGACCCTCAATCACAATATTATACACGCCTTTTTTGCACTTACTCCAAAACACTTAGTTCTTGATATTTTTTCTCGAATGGTTGACGGTAATTATATGTTACTCAAGTAATTGGCTGTATTTGGAGTTAGATACTAAGAGATAAAAATGTTCTATTCCTTCGGCAAGAAAAGTTTCTAAGTCTGTTTAATTCGAAACGTATTTCTGAATGAAACCCTGTCAGCATTTACTCTTTTGGACTTTTCTAATTTTTCACATTAAATATTGCTCAACCACTCCACAACTGGTAAAATATTCAAATACTGGTCAAATGAGTATTTCGATACAGTAAGTGATTCAGCCTCCTTAAAATATATTTTTCATAACGGTACTACCATTATATGAGGTCTTACGGTTGCGTTTTGACATAGTGAAATAATATAAAATAACTTAAATGAATATTTCTTATAAGAACTTTATATATTGTATTTACATGTATATCCTAAAATAAGCACATAGAACCTTATGGATTTAAAATAAATGGATCATTGGAAATATATCGACTACTAAAACTTTTAAAAATTATGTAGCGCGGATTTAAATCGTGAACCTGTAGACGGCTATATCAGAGTCATATATTATTTGGTAACAGAAACTTTATATATTTTACAATATACCCGGAGAACACCCACGTAGTCGGGCAGGGGACCCAATAACTGCTCACGTCTGATCGGGAAGTTCGTGTTTTATCCACCATGCTCTTAACCACCACATTGTTACATGTACGTAGTTTATTTTCAAAATATTTTACATTATATTTAGTTTCACTACACGAAGAATTTTTTTCGCTCTAAATTTTCATGTATTTATGTTATATCATATATCTTGGTAATTATTCTTATCCTAAAAGACCATTTTTGGTATAAATTGAGCATTGTTAATGTTGATAAGATACATTCCATGTTACATAATACACATTTTGACCAATTAGGGAAAATTATTTTACATTTGACCGTTGACCCGTAAAATAATGGGTAGTGGTAATCGGAGTGTTGATGAGTACCGACCTATTGTTATTCTCTACGTTAATGTAGAGATCTAGATCAAAGGTAATTATAAAATAAAATATCTTTGAATCTTACTTTTTATATTATTTCTATACCATGTATAATAGGGACATGAGAAAACGCAAATGTGTCAAAAAAAGCAAAGTGTATATAATTATATATATATATATATTTTTTTTTTTTATATATCAATTTTATCCACACCAGGTACAAATTCAGCAGAGTAGCATATGTGTAAATTAATTGCGTCTGGTGATTAAACAAAAAACAAATTCAATTCTAATATTTCCCTTGAAAAAAAACACTGGATGAAATCTAGAAGCAAAGCAACCCCTCCAAGACGTTTGAGAATTATTTTTTTAAGATGGTACCGTTCAACTGAATTAACCATATACTTAGATAACTATATGGTCATATAATGATCTCTCATCTTTCATCTTCAGGACATAATCCGGTCACTTGTCACTTGAAAAAACACCTTTTGAATGTTTGTGACACTCAGCAATAGTTAAAGTTTACGACGTCTAAATATAGACGTATTCGACATTCCGCGTTTCAGTAACCAATGTCCGATTACAGGAAGGGAGATAACTCATAAAGATGGAACTCTTTAATTTTAAGGAAGAGATGCGGTAAGAAAAGGTATCTACTTCCTATGGTTGGTGGGAGGAACTTCACAAAGTAAAAGTGGGGACAAACGACTTGGCAGGATGCAGAACATGATCAATGCGGTAAAGGGGACAGCCCTGGGGATGGCCGAGTACTTAACCCCTGTACTGAAGGTAAGCGACATTGTAATTTGTCCAATGTACTACGATACGTGTCTATGACACATGCACACATGACCAAACTAAGGCCAAGAAAACCCACATTTAGCACATGACGAACTGATGTTAGGGCAAGGAAACATGTCTGTTTGTAAATATTGTTATCATAATACCGCATCGTGACCTTATATCGCTAACCATGTGGGATTTACACAGTTACAGTGATTTATCTGAAGGCAAACTTATACAAAACAGATGTGATCATGATTCATGTAACGACAGACCACAGGAGTCTGACGTTTAATCAATTTAAGTATAACAGTCTATATATAAAAAAAATACCCCATGAACGGTCTCACTTAAAAGCGTCTTCAACCGACAACAAGTGTCTTCAAGTGACAACAAGCGTCGCCAGACAAAATCTTTAAAAATACTGAATAAAGTAAGCGACATCAGAAGATATGTTGTTAATATGACTATAATACACCTCTGTACCAAATTTTAATTTGATATTTGATAAAATGACCGAGTTATGATGAATTGAATTTTTACGATCGCGGCGTGGCACATGTGTGTATTAGCATGTAAAGTGAAGAAAGCGTCGCCAGATAATTTCGTTACAATTACCCGCTAAAGTAAGCGACATCAGAAGATATGTTATTATTTAGGCTTTTATTGATATATATTCAAAATTTCAGCTCGATATTTGAAAAAAATGATCGAGTTATGATTAATTTATTATTACGATCGGCGGCGTGGCATACGTGTGTGAATAGAACTCGACATATGAAGAAGCGTCTTCAGAACATATCTCTAAAATTCATCGATTAAGTAAGCGACATCAGAAGATATGTTATTCATATAACTATGATACACCTTCATACCAAACTTCAGGTAGACATTTTAATAAATGACCGATTCATATGGTTTTTTTTATAGTATATGGGGTATTTTTTATATATAGACTGTTATACTTATATTGATTAAACGTCAGACTCCTGTGGACAGACATGTACACTGGATTTGTTTACATAACACCAATAGTCATACATGTACATATAACATCGGGTGACCAGTTTCTGATCCCTTCATGTGAAACAATGTTTACTCTTTAATTTCAACGAAAAAAAATAGTATGCTATGACACATCTACGACAATACACGGCATGCAGAATATTGGAAAAAGGATTACTTCTTTAACTCTAGAATGACAATTTATTAAATCCTCTCATCATCATTGAATCATCTTCATTCTATATTATGTTACATGTTACCAGTTTCTGTGTCATCTATTTAAAGTAAACATTACTGCTATGGTAAAAAAAATGGAATTGTATCAAGAGAAAATGTTTGCAACATATTTGGATGTTTGTATCTGGTACATGTTAATCACATCAAAATAGTTTTTGCATTCACCATAGCATCGATTATTTGGTCAAATTATTTTAAAAAAGCTTGGCTGCCTCTCCTTGTAAAAATATGCTTACGTGTAATTGCTTTATATTTCTCCAAAATGAGGCAAAAATGAGGAATTTCTTTCTAATTTCAATAAGATTACTGCTAAATTTGCCCATGTCATGTAGGAGCTGCCTACCATCAAATTTAAACAGAAAATCTGAAGTTATTTTCGTGAGTCTCGCGCTCAAATCATTAGATATACAATGCATGCTTACAGTAACTAGAAATGAAGAAGGGAATTTTGTTAAGGTTAAAGTTGTGAAATGTTGCATATAAATATTAACAAAGAGGACTATAGGGGCGTTAATGGTCATTTCTGGCATCATCAGGGATTAAGGATAAGTTGCAATTGTTGTATTCGTAATCTGGAATAAATGAAGTACGCAAATATGAAATTTTCAAATTCATTTGACAACTGGTTTAGGAGAGATGGCATTGCAAAGCGACATAAATGCGCATTTTCATGATAAAATGTGTGATAATCGTCTGTTGTGCGCTATTTGGTTGAAAATTGGCCATTTTGAAGGAAATAACTAAACGCTATTCAATTTTTGAAATCATTGTCATGCAACTAACAAGTAAATATTTGACATGCTTCAGCATTGTTATACTAGTGTTTATTGGTAGTAAGTAATTTTTGTTTGTCACACGCGAGGCTTTCATTTCTGCATATTATTATTAACTGTCCAAAAACACCATATATTGGCTGTTTCTGCATAGCAACATAGTTCGTTGCTATGGTAGGGCATCAACGCATGTGTATTGAAAACAATCTGCACCAAGAAAGATAGCCCCAATTAACCAATATAATGTTTATAACAGAAATTGGTAAATAAATTCTAGTTGAAATTTTCATAATTATTACTAAATAAAAAAACTACTATTCCACATTTTTTGAGTAAAAAGCCTTGTGGACAAAGCCTCGTGCTTGGNCCCCCCCCGGTCGGGTTGAGATTCTCCTATCTCTTCTATTCTATTAGTCCTAATGTTTAAAATTGTATAAATTATATATCTCAATTTGAACCAGCAAATAATTCTTTTTCTCAATTTACAGGAATCAAAGTTCAAAGAAACAGGAGTTATTACTCCTGAGGAGGTAGGTTTGGTTGTATAGTCTAACAATGTTATATAACTTACAACTTACTATCAGTTATCTGAGGGGGTAGGTTTGGTTGTATAGTCTAACAAAGTTATATAACTTACAACTTACTATCAATTATCTGAGGAGATAGGTTTGGTTGTATAGTCTAACAAAGTTATATAGCTTACAACTTACTATCAGTTATCTGAGGGGGTAGGGGGTAGGTTTGGTTGTATAGTCTAACAAAGTTATATAACTTACAAATTACTATCAATTATCTGAGGAGGTAGGTTTGGTTGTATAGTCTAACAAAGTTATATAACTTACAACTTACTATCAATTATCTGCTAACCATTTCAAATTTAAAGTTGTTCAGCAATATTTGGAAGTGTTCAAAGTAGAATTTGAAAATGGATATGTGTATTTCTAATTCAGGCTGCAATATTGCCTTAGTGTATGACTAGTCTTTTTTCACCATGTCAATTACTGCGAGGTCAGAGCATGTACATACATTTTCTTGTTAACACCTATACATCTGTTATCTGTAAGGGAACCCATTGGAAATAAGCCTTTCATGGCTTTGATTGGTTCTTTCAGGTAAGGGAAATGGATATGGAACTGACATCAAGTTTTCAAACTGCCTATACATGTATATACTGGATACCATCAGCAGAGATGTATAGTTTGTGTATGTCTTTTACCTGACTGAATATTATCATTTATTATTATTGTCTATGAGTTACAGAGTAAGTAGTATAACATTACAAATGATCTAGGAGAGACAAGGATTAGTTGCATATACTTATATCAAGTAAATTGTTTGCACATAATGGACCCATAATCACAGGAGTGAATGATTCTATTGACTAAGACTTATATGGTCGTTTATATGCCTATTTCAGTTTTTGGCTGCAGGTGACCATATTGTCCACCACTGTCCAACGTGGCAGTGGTCAGCTGGGGATGAATCCAAAACTAAACCATACTTACCCAAGGACAAGCAGTTTCTGATTACCAGGAATGGTGAGTGGCTTGACTGTAGGATTTTATATTGTTTATGCATGTATATTTTGGGGGATACCATAGGTAAAATGTAAACTTGATTTAATTTCCAACTATTATTATAACTTATACTAATCCCTCTTGTTGGCCCCAATGTATGCGCGAGGAAACAAGAGTACCTGAAAGAAACCCACATGGTCAGGCAGGTGACCCAATACATTTTCACGTCTGATTGAGAAATTGAACCCTGGCCGCCTTGGTGAAAGGCAAGTGCGCTATATCCACTGTGCCACCTGATCATGACCACCAAGGGTTTCTAAACTCTCAAACGATACTCCCAACGGATCTGTAGGTCGTTTTAAGGTTGTTTCATTATTTATCGATCTTGTATTGTTGTTTTATATACATGTACTTCCTTTGTAGCAGAGACGTATAATACAGAGATTGGCAACTTGCTCTTGGCCTTACCATTGGTCACTGGTATCGAGAGTTACGCTTCACCTGCGCCATATTGGATATGCGGTTCGCTGCATTCAACTCAAATCATAATTATGCCATGAGAAAACATCGCAAATCAACGTAACATTAAAACCGTACGTAGCTACAAAATGTAGCTGAGATTTCCATGCGGTTTGGGAGTGCTACATTGAATGTAAACTTGAATGATTAAGTTTAGAAAACCCCAAACATCGAAAGATTGCACATTGTGGCTGTGTTTACATATCGGTAATTATTCTGGCTTCAGGATAACACTATCTCCGTTTTTGTTCTTTAGACAATTTCAAAAAAGTTTTCAGAAATTAATTATATGATAATATTTCTAACCAGGAAATTTAAATGAGGTTGTTACAATACTTGCAAAGTTTCATAATTCAGCTGTGAAAAGACAGGTTTTTCTGAGAAATCAAGTTAAAATGGCGGCTCTGATTTTGAGGGTTATTTCTATCATGACAAATTTTGAACACTATCTCCGTTTTTTTTCTTTAGACAATTTCAAAAAAGTTTTCAGAAATTAGTTATATGATAATATTTCTAACCAGGAAATTAAAATGAGGTTGTTACAATACCTGCAAAGTTTGATAATTGAGCTCTGAAAATACACTTTAAAATAACCATGTGAAAATGGCGGCTGTGATGTGCGAGAGTTAATTCCTTTTATGACACCGGCACTCCTTTCTCGTTCATCTTTTTATTTCAAAAACGTATTCAGATATAACATTATATTTCTAACCAGCTTCTTTATATGATCCATATATCTAGGATAAGTGACATGTTGACACGAACTAACGAATACACGATCGAACTCTCACACAGGTAACTCACTGACCAGACTATCGTCACCAGGTCGATAAGCTGTCAAAACAAACACTCGTAGATCATGCTAGATTTTGCGAGATCAGCGAGAGTTGCCAATCTCTTTATTTATACGTCTCTGTTTGTAGTGACAAACTTTGACATACTAGTGACATAATATTTCATGCTCTATGTGTTTTTGTCCATTTTAAGCAACAATCAGTTCTGAATTCAACACTTAATGTTGGTCACATTTGACCAAAAGCATGTTTGCAGATTGGTGATGAAAATTGAACAATGTTACTGTTATTTAATGTATATCTAAAATGTCCTTAGTGCCATGCTACAAGAGAGTCAAACAAGTAGACAATCACCAAGAGGAACAGGAAAAAGTAATAGAAGAGGATGAGGATGGAGGCTGGGTAGATACTCACCACTTCCCTGGTAGTGGTAGGTAACAGTACTTCTGTTCAGGGTCCAGGTCACGGTGACCTGCTGTACAAAAATCATTTCTGGATTTTGTATCAGCGGTCTGATGTCGCGGCCCCATGCTTTCTGTCTTGATTCACATTATATTAATATAAGATGACAACAAATAAAATAAAAAACTATTTATCTGAAGATCTAGAGATAAAAAATTCAGGTCAAGGTGACATTTTGTGCTGAAATAATTATAATAATTCATAAAGTAAAAAGAGTCCATCCTTTCCATGTAGTTCCATTGTTGTTGTTGGGGTCCGAATGTCACAGGGTCAGGTGAGTTAGTACTGCATCATGTAAAAGTGAATTCTTGACTAAAAACACTACAGGAACGACTACGCATGGACAGAGTAGAAACCATATTAATTGTAGAGTCAAAGGGTATTTGTCTCACTACTCTATGTTGATGTGTAAAACAGATTTCTGGTGGGAGAATTGTATTCTGTCTGTAATTATAGCTCTTGTTGCCAAGCAGCATGTGGGATATAAGTTAGCCAGAGGGTTACATGTCTTATTTTTCCCAAATGACTGGGACAAAGTTATATAAAATTCTATTGTATATTTTTCCAGGTGTGAATGCCACTTCAATACAGGAGGCTGTGTCAGAAATGACTCTAGACAGTAAGGTAAGGGGCGACACATTCTGTGATAACAGCAAGGGATGTGGTCTCCCACCTCTATGTGTTTAACATATACACTCAAATGGGATACATTGTTTAAATTAAACACTCAACCTAAATAGGGAGAAGACAACCTAAGGCACTATGGCTGGCAAATGTGGTTCAGAATCATTTAGGAGGTGTTTGTTAGCAGTTATACCATAAATATTCGAATTTTGTGCGCAGGTACTTTAAGGTGCAAAAATCATTTAAATATACTGTAGTTATAAATTGCTATGATGCTTTGATAACTAACAAATTAGTCTTGTTATTATGTATATCTTTATGTCTACATACGTTTTTTTTGGGATATGTTTATCATGACATAATAGCATATTTTCCACAGGGATTGCTTTGCAAATAAGGTCTGTGTTTGTGTTTCAAATACTATATTTGTAAAAGATATACTGAGGTTTCTTAAATTGAAGCTATGTTCCCAATTCAATTCAGATTTTCTCAGTTGAGTTTTAAAAATTTGTTCCAGGAAAGTAAAGGATCTTCTAGTTCTCAACCAAAAGGAGACGACGACGACGATGATGATGAAGATGATGATGAAGAGGCGATGGATATGGAAGCCTTTGAGGAGAGCGGCATGTTAGAGGACAAAGACAATGTAAGTTTGGCATGTTGGAGGACAAAGACAATGTAAATTTGGCATGTTGGAGGACAAAGACAATGTAAGTTTGGCATGTTGGAGGACAAAGACAATGTAAGTTTGGCATGTTATAGGACAAAGACAATGTAAGTTTGGCATGTTGGAGGACAAAGACAATGTAAGTTTGGCATGTTGGAGGCAAAGACAATGTAAATTTGGCATGTTAGAGGACAAAGACAATGTAAGTTTGGCATGTTAGAGGACAAAGACAATGTAAGTTTCGCATGTTGGAGGACAAAGACAATGGAAGTTTGGCATGTTATAGGACAAAGTCAATGTAAGTTTGGCATGTTGGAGGAAAAAGACAATGTAAGTTTGGCATGTTGGAGGAAAAAGACAATGTAAGTTTGGCATGTTGGAGGACAAAGACAATGTAAGTGTAGATACAATGCACAAATAGAGATCTAGATATTCTGTACAAATAGAGATCTAGATAAACTGTACAAATATAGATCTAGATAAACTGTACAAATAGAGATCTAGATAAACTGTACAAATAGAGATCTAGATATATATACTGTACAAATAGAGATATAGATATATATACTCTACAAATAGAGATCTAGATATACTGTACAAATAGAGATATAGATATACTGTACAAATATAGATCTAGATACAATGTACAAATAGAGATCTAGAAATATACTGTACAAATATAGATCTAAATAAACTGTACAAATAGAGATCTAGATACAATGTACCAATAGAGATCTAGATATACTGTGCAAATATAAAATCTAGATATACTGTACAAATAGAGATCTAGATATACTGTACAAATATAAAATCTAGATACAATGTACAAATAGAGATCTAGATTATATATACTGTACAAATATAGATCTAGATAAACTGTACAAATAGAGATCTAGATACAATGTACAAATAGATATCTAGATATACTGTACAAATAGATTTTTAGATATACCGTACAAATAGATATTTCGATATACTGTACAAATAGAGATCTAGATTTATACTGTACAAATAGAGATCTAGATATTTACTGTACAAATAGATATCTAGATATACTGTACAAATAGATATTTAGATATACTGTACAAATAGATATATATATATATATACTGTACAAATAGAGATCTAGATGTAAAATGTACAAATAGAGATCTAGATATATACTGTACAAATAGATATATAGATAAACTGTACAAATAGAGATCTAGATATATACTGTACAAATAGAGATCTAGATATATACTGTACAAATAGAGATCTAGATATATACTGTACAAATAGACATCTAGATATACTGTACAAATAGAGATCTAGATATATACTGTACAAATAGAGATCAAGATAAACTGTACAAATAGACATCTAGATATACTGTACAAATAGAGATTTAGATATACTAAAAATAGAGTCTATCATATGTAGGCATGTGGGGTTTAGATATTCTAGTCCCAAGCTGTAGAATTTTGTGTCAGAACTGAGGCTTAACCGAGGTTCTGACACCAAATTCTGCACTCAGGGGACGAAATACTCATCCCATATACCTGCCACCTCTTAACCAGAACATTGGTAAATTAGGACAAAGACGATGCAAATGCAGCAGTAACTATGGTGAAATGTTAGACATCATAGACAAACTAAGGCCACATCGGAAAAAATCAGGAAAACAGTACAATAATCTGAGGTATAACTTAGGTGTAAAGACCATGCTAGCCTTTCCTAGCATGCTTGTACAACAATAATCTGTGGTATAACTTAGGTGTAAAGACCATGCTAGCCTTTCATAGCATGCTTGTACAACAATAATCTGAGGTATAACTTAGGTGTAAAGACCATGCTAGCCTTTCCTAGCATGCTTGTACAACAATAATCTGAGGTATAATTTAGGTTTAAGACCATGCTAGCCTTTCCTAGCATGCTTGTACAACAACAATCTGTGGTATAACTTAGGTGTAAAGACCATGCTAGCCTTTCCTAGCATGCTTGTACAACAATAATCTGGGGTATAACTTAGGTGTAAAGACCATGCTAGCCAGTCCTAGCATGCTTGTACAACAATAATCTGAGGGATAATTTAGGTTTAAGACCATGCTAGCCTTTCCTAGCATGCTTGAACAACAATAATCTGAGGTATAACTTAGGTGTAAAGACAATGCTAGCCTTTCCTAGCATGCTTGTACAACAATGATCTGAGGTATAACTTAGGTGTAAAGACCATGCAAGCCTTTCCTAGCATGCTTGTACAACAATTATCTGGGGTATAATTTAGGTGTAAAGACCATGCTAGCCTTTCCTAGCAAGCTTGTACAACAATAATCTGAGGTATAACTTAGGTGTGAAGACCATGCTAGCCTTTCCTAGCATGCTTGAACAACAATAATCTGAGGTATAACTTAGGTGTAAAGACAATGCTAGCCTTTCCTAGCATGCTTGTACAACAATGATCTGAGGTATAACTTAGGTGTAAAGACCATGCAAGCCTTTCCTAGCATGCTTGTACAACAATTATCTGAGGTATAATTTTGGTGTAAAGACCGTGCTAGACTTTCCTAGCATGCTTGTACAACAATAATCTGAGGAATAATTTAGGTGTAAAGACCATGCTAGCCTTTCATAGGATGCTTGTACAACAATAATCTGAGGTATAATCTAGGTGTAAAGACCATGCTAGCCTTTCATAGGATGCTTGTACAACAATAATCTGAGGTATAATTTAGGTGTGAAGACCATGCTAGCCTTTCATAGCATGCTTGTGCAACAATAATCTGAGGTATAATTTAGGTGTAAAGACCATGCAAGCCTTTCCTAGCATGCTTGTACAACAATTATCTGAGGTATAATTTTGGTGTAAAGACCGTGCTAGACTTTCCTAGCATGCTTGTACAACAATAATCTGTGGTATAACTTAGGTGTAAAGACCATGCTAGCTTTTCATAGCATGCTTGTACAACAATAATCTGAGGAATAACTTAGGTGTAAAGACCATGCTAGCCTTTCCTAGCAAGCTTGTACAACAATAATCTGAGGTATAACTTAGGTGTAAAGACAATGCTAGCCTTTCCTAGCATGCTTGTACAACAATGATCTGAGGTATAACTTAGGTGTAAAGACCATGCAAGCCTTTCCTAGCATGCTTGTACAACAATTATCTGAGGTATAATTTTGGTGTAAAGACCGTGCTAGACTTTCCTAGCATGCTTGTACAACAATAATCTGGGGTATAACTTAGGTGTAAAGACCATGCTAGCCTTTCCTAGCAAGCTTGTACAACAATAATCTGAGGTATAACTTAGGTGTAAAGCCCATGCTAGCCTTTCCTAGCATGCTTGTACAACAATAGTCTGAGGTATAACTTAGGTTTAAAGACCATGCTAGCCTTTCATAGCATGCTTGTACAACAACATTCTTCTGTTCTGGGGTTGGTGTCAATTGCTGATGGCAAGAATGTGTTATAGTACAGGTCACTGAGTGCACACATGAGTGATACATGTGTTCCACATGGGTGTTCAACCTGGGTGTTCCACATGGGTATGGGTGTTCCAAATGGGTATTCCACATGGGTGTTCCATATGGGATGTGTATGTTTCATATGCAGAGGTGGGAGACATATGGGAACATAATATTCAAATATCTTGTTATCATGGACGTGCATATAGAAACATGTATACATTCATTTAATAAGCGATCAATTTATGGTATCAAAAAGTTCATGAGAAACAAAGATGAAATCAAGAAAGAAACGATTTTTTTTTTCAGGCAACACTAAATCCAAGTACGTATGAGAGACAGGAGTCGGACGGTGCGATGGGAGGAGAGAGCGGCATAATTCAGACACGCACGTACGACCTAAACATCACCTACGACAAGTATTACCAGACACCGAGGCTTTGGTTGTACGGCTACGATGAGGTAAATATTTTTAAAGTGATTACACTATTGTTTTATATATCTGGTTTTATTGATTCCTAAAGGAATATAGCTGTATGAAGTGTGCTGCTTGGTACCATTTACAACTGTATAGCATGTTACCTCATAACTTAGGCATCCACAGTTGGAATCAAACTAAACTTGGTGCACTAGACTTAACAAGCTTATTCCCTGGAGCTAACGAGCTTGTGCATTAGAGCTAACGAGCGTGTGCATTAGAGTTAACAAGCTTGTGCATTAGAGTTAACGAGCTTGTGCATAAAAGTTAACAAGCTTGTGCATTAGAGCTAACGAGCTTGTGCACTGGAGCTAACGAGCTTGTGCATTAGAGTTAACGAGCTTGTGCATAAGAGTTAACGAGCTTGTGCATTAGAGTTAACAAGCTTGTGCATTAGAGTTAACGAGCTTGTGCATTAGATCTAACGAGTTTGTGCATTAGACCTAACGAGCTTGTGTATTAGAGTTAACAAGCTTGTGCATTGGAGCTAGCAAACTTGTGCATTAGAGTTAACATGCTTGTGCACTAGAGCTAACAAGCTTGTGCATTGGAGCTAACGAGCTTGTGCATTGGAGCTAACAAACTTGTGCATTAGAGCTAACGAGCTTGTGCATTAGAGCTAACAAGCTTGTGCATTGGAGCTAACGAGCTTGTGCATTGGAGCTAACAAACTTGTGCATTAGAGCTAACGAGCTTGTGCATTAGAGCTTACAAGTTTGTGCATAAGAGCTAACAAGCTTGTGCATTAGAGCTAACAAACTTGTGCATTATAGCTAACGCGCTTGTGCATTAGAGCTAACGAGCTTGTGCATTAGAGCTAACAAGCTTATGCATTAGAGCTAAAGAGCCTGTACATTAGAGTTAACAAACTTGTGCATTAGAGCTTACAAGCTTGTGCATTAGAGTTAACAAGCTTGTGCATTAGAGCTAACAAGCTTGTGCATTAGAGCTAAAGAGCCTGTACATTAGAGTTAACAAACTTGTGCATTAGAGCTTACAAGCTTGTGCATTAGACTTAACAAGCTTGTGCATTAGAGCTAACGAGCTTGTGCATTAGAGCTACGAGCTTGTGCATTAGAGCTAACGAGCTTGTGCATTGGACCTAACAAGCTTGTGCATTAGAGTTAACAAGCTTGTGCATTACAGCTAACAAGCTTGTGCATTAGAGCTAACAAGCTTGTGCATCAGAGCTAACGAGCTTGTGCCTTAGAGTTAACAAGCTTGTGCATTGGAGCTAGCAAACTTGTGCATTAGAGTTAAAGAGCTTGTGCATTAGAGCTAACGAGCTTGTGCATAAGAGTTAACGAGCTTGTGCATAAGAGTTAACAAGCTTGTGCATTAGAGTTAACAAGCTTGTGCATTAGAGCTAACGAGCTTGTGCATTAGAGTTAACGAGCTTGTGCATAAGAGTTAATGAGCTTGTGCATAAGAGTTAATGAGCTTGTGCATAAGAGTTAACATGCTTGTGCATTAGAGTTAACGAGCTTGTGCATTAGAGTTAACGAGCTTGTGCATTCTAGACTTAACAAGCTTATTCCCTGGCGCTAACGAGCTTGTGCATTAGAGCTAACGAGTTTGTGCATTAGAGCTAACGAGCTTGTGCATTGGACCTAACAAGCTTGTGCATTAGAGTTAACGAGCTTGTGCATTAGAGCTAACGAGTTTGTGCATTATAGCTAACGAGCTTGTGCATTAGAGTTAACAAGCTTGTGCATTGGAGCTAGCAAACTTGTGCATTAGAGTTAACATGCTTGTGCACTTGAGCTAACAAGCTTGTGCATTGGAGCTTACGAGCTTGTGCATTAGAGTTAACAAGCTTGTGCATTAGAGTTAACAAACTTGTGCATTAGAGCTAAAAAGCTTGTGCATTAGAGCGAACAAGCTTGTGCATTACTTGTGCATTAGAGCTAAGGAGCTTGTGCATTAGAGCTTACAAGTTTGTGCATTAGAGATAACGAGTTTGTGCATTATAGTTAACGAGCTTGTGCATTAGAGCTAACAAGCTTGTGCATTAGAGCGTACAAACTTGTGCATTAGAGATAACGAGCTTGTGCATTAGAGCTTACAAGTTTGTGCATTAGAGCTAACAAGCTTGTGCATTAGAGCTAACAAACTTGTGCATTATAGCTAACGAGCTTGTGCATTAGAGCAATGGGCTGGTGCATTAGAGTTAACGAGCTTGTGCATTAGAGCTAACAAGCTTGTGCATTAGAGCTAAAGAGCTTGTACATTAGAGTTAACAAACTTGTGCATTAGAGCTTACAAGCTTGTGCATTAGAGTTAACAAGCTTGTGCATTAGATTTAACGAGCTTGTGCATTAGAGCTAACGAGCTTGTGCATTAGAGTTAACAAGCTTGTGCATTAGAGCTAACAAACTTGTGCATTATAGCTAACGAGGTTGTGCATTAGAGCTAACGAGCTTGTGCCTTAGAGCTAACGAGCTTGTGCATTAGAGCTAAAGAGCTTGTGCATTGGACCTAACGAGCTTGTGCCTTAGAGTTAACAAGCTTGTGCATTAGAGTTAACAAGCTTGTGCATTGGAACTAACGAGCTTGTGCATTAGAGTTAACAAGCTTGTGCATTAGAGTTAACGAGCTTGTGCATTAGAGTTAACGAGCTTGTGCATTAGAGCTAACAAGCGTGTGCATAGGAGTTAAGGAGCTTGTCCATTAAAGCTAACAAGCTTGTGCATTAGAGCTAACAAGCTTGTGCATTGGAGCTAACGAGCTTGTGCATTAGAGCAATGGGCTGGTGCATTAGAGTTAACAAGCTTGTGCATTAGAGCTAACATGCTTGTGCATTGGAGCTAACTAGCTTGTGCATTAGAGCTAACGAGCTTGTGCATTAGAGCTTACAAGCTTGTGCATTAGAGCCCCCAAGCTTGTGCATTAGAGCTAACAAACTTGTGCATTAGAGCTAACGAGCTTGTGCATTAGAGCTAACAAGCTTGTGCATTAGAGTTATTGAGCTTGTGCATTAGAGTTAACAAGCGTGTGCATTGGAGTTAAGGAGCTTGTCCATTAGAGCTATAATGAGCTTGTGCATTAGAGCTAAAGAGCTTGTACATTAGAGTTAACAAACTTGTGCATTGTGCTTACAAGCTTGTGCATTAGAGTTAACAAGCTTGTGCATTAGAGCTAACGAGCTTGTGCGTTAGAGTTAACAAACTTGTGCACTAGAGTTAACAAGCTTGTTCATTAGAGCTAACAAGCTTGTGCATTAGAGCTAACGAGCTTGTGCGTTAGAGCTAACAAGCTTGTGCATTGGAGCTAACAAGCTTGTGCACTAGAGTTAACAAGCTTGTGCATTAGAGCTAACAAGCTTGTGCATTAGAGCTAACGAGCTTGTGCATCAGAGCTAACGAGCTTGTGCGTTAGAGTTAACAAGCTTGTGCATTAGAGTTAACAAGCTTGTGCATTAGAGTTAACAAGCTTGTGCATTAGAGCTAACGAGCTTGTGCATTGGAGTAAATGAGCTTGTGCATTAGAGTTAACAAGCTTGTGCATTAGAGCTAACGAGCTTGTGCATTAGAGTTAACGAGCTTGTGCTTTAGAGTTAACGAGCTTGTGCATTAGAGTTAACGAGCTTGTGCATTAGAGTTAACGAGCTTGTGCATTAGAGTTAACAAGCTTGTGCATTAGAGTTAACAAGCTTGTGCATTAGAGTTAACAAGCTTGTGCATTAGAGTTAACAAGCTTGTGCATTAGAGTTAACAAGCTTGTGCATTAGAGCAAACGAGCTTGTGCCTTAGAGTTAACAAGCTTGTGCATTAGAGTTAACAAGCTTGTGCATTAGAGTTAACAAGCTTGTGCATTAGAGCAAACGAGCTTGTGCCTTAGAGTTAACAAGCTTGTGCATTAGAGTTAACAAGCTTGTGCATTAGAGCTAACGAGCTTGTGCATTAGAGCTAACATGCTTGTGCATTGGAGCTAACGAGCTTGTGCATTAGAGCTAACGAGCTTGTGCATTAGAGCTAAAGAGCTTGTACATTAGAGTAAATGAGCTTGTGCATTGGAGCTAACGAGCTTGTGCATTAGAGCTAACAAGCTTGTGCATTAGAGCTAACAAGCTTGTGCATTAGAGCTAACAAGCTTGTACATTAGAGTTAACGAGCTTGTGCATTAGAGCTAACAAGCGTGTGCATTGGAGTTAAGGAGCTTGTCCATTAAAACTAACAAGCTTGTGCATTAGAGCTAACAAGCTTGTGCATTGGAGCTAACGAGCTTGTGCATTAGAGCAATGGGCTGGTGCATTAGAGTTAACGAGCTTGTGCATTAGAGTTAACGAGCTTGTGCATCAGAGCTATCGAACTTGTGCATTAGAGTTAACGAGCTTGTGCATTAGAGTTAACAAGTGTGTGCATTGGATTTAAGGAGCTTGTCCATTAGAGCTATAATGAGCTTGTGCAGTAGAGCTAAAGAGCTTGTACATTAGAGTTTACAAGCGTGTGCATTAGAGTTAACGAGCTTGTGCATTAGAGTTAACAAACTTGTGCATTAGAGCTAACGGGCTTGTGCATTAGAGCTAACGAGCTTGTGCATTAGAGCTAACAAGCTTGTGCATTAGAGTTCTAACTTTTCTCCAGTCCAGGGGGAATAAATGACTCTTTTACTAACTCTTACTTCTGCATTTGTCACAACAGAATAGGAAGCCGCTGACTGTGAACCAGATGTATGAGGACTTCAGTCAGGATCACATCAAAAAGACAGTGACAATGGAGGCTCACCCCCACCTTCCAGGTCCACCGATGGCTTCTGTACACCCGTGTCGGTAAGATACCACTCTTTACACTGCTCTGATGATAATGGAGTGCCATGTGTAAAAATCTTATAATGATATACAACATTCAATATGGTGCCCTTTCTATCTAGAATAAGCCACTCTAAAGCACTTTATAGTACACAGATATACAATTTATACAATCAATATAATTAGCATATAAATTAATCAATACAATTTTGGGGAATTCGCAGGAGCTGCCTTATCAGGCACTAACTACTAGTCCTATGCCACATGGCTTATATCTCCCTATGTGTGTATGCCTGCGTGTGTGCTGGAGATGTATTGTGTTCTGTTTGTAGTGGGACTGTACTTCCAACGGTATCATTTATAGTGCCCTCTCACTTGAATACTAAAACACAGATACCGCAACATCCACCCCAGACCAATTTATACTCCACCTGGGTTGTTGGAGTTGTGTGTGCAGGAGAAAAACACTCTATCTGAATATCCATGCGTACAACGACTTCGGGGATCGAACCCAAGCCGCCTATGTGGAAGGCCGGAGTGTTAAACACTCGACCAATCCACCTTATCTAAAAAGTGGTCTCCAAGACAGATTGTCTCTTAGAATTTAAAAAAAAAGGCTTAATCTACTTCTCAATTTATTACATTAAAAGGTTCAAGAATTATAAAAGGGATCTTAAGAGAGGTCATAGTGACATAAAAGTGGCTCCAATACACATAACAGTATTTACTTCTTCTATCTTGTTTTCTGAATCCATAATGAGGATAGCAGTGATTTTCAAATCCAAAGTTTGTCCAACATTCCTCATCAATTTTATTTGATTCTGCCTCAGTTTGAGGAAATTTGTTAGAAAGGGTGATGGAAAAAAATAGCTTCTTACTTCTGTAAGTTTTAAAATGAAACATGCCTTCATTCAGGCTTGATGAAAGGTTGAAAACTTCATTTTAATTCATCACCAATGCTGGTTCAGGGATTGAATTATGAAAAAAAAACATGGCATCAAATAAAATATGATTTTTGATGTTCCAGGCATGCTGTTGTGATGAAGAAAATAATACAGATGGTTGCTGAAGGTGGCGGAGACCTAGGAGTACATGTGTATCCTTACGTGATAGTGCTCATACATTGTATGTGTAGGAATCGGAGGATTCAAACTGTAATGTTTATTTCTGAAAGTTTTGTTTTTAGTCTTTTTTCATCCAATACAAGAAACAAATATAAAAGAAGAAAAAAATATTTTAATGCTAAAATGTATTCATTATGTACAAAAACCTCTGGATCTGTGAAGTTACTGAGAGACAATTTTGATTGTGATCAAGTAATGAGGTAGCAGGTTATACAATTGTGAATGGTACTGAGCACCATAACTTTGTTCCAATATTTATTTCCAATATTTTGCAAAAAAATAAAAAAATATGATTGTTTGCCAGTACGTTCTGTATTGTAACCAATTACCTGGTAAAACCTTTATATGACCTTGACCTATGTTCAGATATTTAATGATCTTTTTGAAGTTTGTCCAAGCTGTGATACCAACTATTGAATATGACTACACAAGACATTTTATAATGTGATAACCTGCAACTAAATTTCTAAAAAAATATTTATTAATCTTGGGAACAATGGACCAGTTGCTATGGCAGCCAAGCAACCTAGCAACCAGCTATGGTGATGGTGTGACGCAGTTGCTCTGGTGATGTGAATACCTATCATGCTTACCTTCACCGTGCAATAAACATTAATATCTAATTCCATATGGTTATCATGCCAGGAAGCAGATAAGTTTTAGATTTCCGTTTGCATTTAGCTATCAACAGAAGTTGACTGTCACGTTTAGAAGGAAGACAACATATATACACCAAGTTTCTGTGTTGTAGACAAACAGAATATCCCTAATACCTGATGTGTTATCGTGTTATCATGTTATTACATTCTGTTAGACTATCACTGCTCACATACCAAGTATTGTTGACAAATGGATGTATCCTTTTATAATATGTTAACTGTTATACATGATGTATAAGAAATGTTACCCCTGTAATCTTATGTTGTTTCCTGTATTTCACTCCAACCCTGGACTTTTAAGATGTGTTGCCCTCAGTTAATTCTGTCAGTCACTTAACTTTTGGTTGTCTAGTCTTCCTTCACTGTTTAAGATACACTACCTACTGTTGTTTCAATACATGTTGTAGATGTGTAAACATTCCGAACCGTACCCCTATTAGAAGCAATGGGCAGTTATTCAGCTGACACATATATAACAATTGGAACTACTAGTAACATTATGCACTGAAGGTAAAACAATGATATTTAAAAACATGAGATATGTCCTTATTTTAATGCAGGTATGTTTAGTACTACCTGTCTTGTATAATTAAGAAAGTAACAGACTAATAGACAGATTGCCATTATGTAAAATATGATAACTTGATTTATTTTACAACAATTATGGAACAAGTGATTTCAACTTACATCGATCACTGTTGTTGGCCGAATGGAGCACTTGGAGAAAACAAAACATGGGATACAGTTTCACATCCAGTCAAAACATTGAACCTTGTTCTCTTGGTGAAAGGAAAGTGCAATGTTTACTGTGACACCCGGACAGCCTACCAATGTATATACATTATGTACAGGTGGTCTGTATGGACAGCTGATAGGTATCTTCTTATAGGTACATGTAGGGAGCTACGGATGCTTGTGGTCTCCAGAACAGGTGTGACAATCACTACATTTATACACCTTAGAGACACCTCTGATGTGAAATAGACAGAAATGATACATTTAAGATTATTACCCAATAGTCTATATAAATTATAATTAGTCATTTTTGACTGTTTCTTGCCTTTAGTCCAATTTCGACTGTAGCGGTGAAACAGTCAAAACTGTTTCCCGGTCAGAGCGAACTGTTACCCGGCGTGAATTAGATGCGCAGAAATCCCCCCTCGAGGGCCCCGTTCAAGCATTTTGGTGACAGCGACTCAGTGTTGAAGTAATGGCATTGCATGCATCATTGATACTAGTGTTTATTTGGTAATAAAACAATTGTTTCAATGCTATTTAGGGAACAGTCAAAACAATAATTCCTCAGTAGTTGGAAGCCCTGTGGAACTGTTTGGCCTAGCGGCCTCAATGAAACAATTGTATAATGTTATCATGTTTGTATTTTTTTGTGATGTGACTACTTTTCATATTGAGGTTGCTTTCATAAACATAAAAAAATTATTTATGATCAACATATCACTACAACAACACAAGTGATTTGAAATTGTCCAAGCATGGAAATAAACTCTCATACCTGAATATGGGTTTCTTATGATGGTGACTGATATAATTATGTAGACAGTGACGAAGTTTCGATTTTCATGTTTTACATGACTTGTTGAGTACTACGTGATTGAAGATATTAGAAGAATAACAAGGTATATATCTGTAATATACAATGTCACAACTGTCTTAACCAAACTCCATAGGCACAAAACACATTTTTTCAGATTACTTACTAGACAGGATTTTTTATTACATAATGAAAATATAATCACCGCAGTTTGATTTTTACCTTTTTGTCCTCCGTAATGAGGGCAAATATAACATCACAACCAATATCAGTTTAAAACATTATTTACTTGAGCTAGCAATTCCATTTCGAGGTTGTAAGGGCAATTTCGTAGAACAAAGATAATGAAAAGATGTAGCTTAGGTTAATTTGAGTCATGGGGGATGTGTGGGATACAAACCCCTCACTCTCTCCTCCCCATCCCTAAGTCCCAGCTCCATACCCACTCTCTCCTCCCCATCCCTAAGTCCCAGCTCCATACCCACTCTCTCATCCTAACCCCAGGACTTATGTTCAATGTATAACTTGGATAAGGTTCAATAATATTAGTGAAGATCAGTGTTTTTATTCTAAAAGATGTCTATGATAAATGGAGGAGTATTTACAAGACAGGGTACCAAATATTGCAAGATGATATTTTGAAGGATGTTTCAAACTGAGATTGCGTTCTATTTTTGATTTTGATTTTTTTTGTTATAGATCATATGAAATGATATTGCTACTCCAAACACTTACAGCATTGTTTATTGTTATAGACCTCAGTCAAAATATTGAAAGGCTTGACAGTTTAGCCACTCATTAACAGAAAATATAAAAATTGCATTTTAAATTCTTTCTTTAAAACAATATTTTTGAGTTTGCTGTCAACAGATCAGCATCTGGCATCCCAATAATTTGGTAATTGATTTTATTAGAAGAAAATTATTTTGTTTTAAAATTTTCATTTATTTTTAGTTAAATTAATTATGCCTTGAATAATTCTGTCTAGACTGCTATGTCAATACATGTATTATTCTAATTTCTCATAATTTATATATATATCAAATTATAATGATTTGTTTCTTTCCTGCATAATAAATGTCCTAGAGGACTCTAAATGGCCACCTTTGTGTTAGAATTAACACTTATGCTGATAGCTAAATGATTGTGATGGGCATAAACAATAATTATACCACAATGTATGTACATTTCTGTGTCAATCATATCTAGTGTTACATGGTACTACTACCATCCAACTACACCGTCTAAATATACAATGCAAGTTCAGGTGTTGAATGTTAATTCTTAAGAAAGTTTAAAAAAAAAAGAAAAAAATGTACATGTTCGTGTGTAAATTGACAGTATCACATGTTTAATATATATTCTAATGTTAAAATACTATAAACACAATGTCATATTAAAAAATGCATTTAATGTTCAAATATGTAGTTTAAAAACAGCTGTTTACCAATGTATTGGACTTTTTCTGTCCCATAGTTCCTCTAGTCTTGACAAAAACTGGTGATAGATGATAAGGGGTATCCAGTAATACAAAAACTGGTGATCAATGATAAGGGGTATCCAGTAATACAAAAACTGGTGATAGATGATAAGGGGTATCTGGTAAAACAAAAACTGGTGATAGATGATAAGGGGTATCCAGTAATACAAAAACTGGTGATAGATGATAAGGGGTATCCGGTAAAACAAAAACTGGTCATAGATGATAAGGGGTAACCGGTAATACAAAAACTGGAGATAGATGATCAGGGCTATCCGGTAATACAAAAGCTGGTGATAGATGATAAGGTGTATCCGGTAATACAAAACCTGGTGATAGATGATAAGAGGTATCCGGTAATACAAAACCTGGTGATAGATGATAAGGGGGATCCGGTTATACAAAAACTGGTGATCAATGATAAGGGGTATCAGTAATACAAAAACTGCTGATCAATGATAAGGGGAATCCGGTAATACAAAAACTGGTGATAGATGATAAGGGGTATCCGGTTATACAAAAACTGGTGATAGATGATCAGGGGTATCCGGTAATAAGAGCAAATGAAATCTGGAATTTACAGACACTGCAAAAAGATAGGTAAATGTAGATATGTGAGAAAACAGGTCCCAAGTGTGCAGCAGATCAGTATTCATGGTTTCATCATTGTCCCAGATGGGGGAAAAGAACAAAAAAAAACTATTCTGCAAAGGTTTCCGGATCAGTCGCCTCACAAGATCATTCAATGGAATACTGCAGGTCAAATACTTCTCCATACCTGTACAGGACTATCACACATGAAATACTTCTCCATACCTGTACAGGACTATCACACATGAAATACTTCTCCATACCTGTACAGGACTATCACACATGAAGTACTCCTCCATACCTGTACAGGACTATCACACATGAAATACTTCTCCATACCTGTACCGGACTATCACACCTGAAATATGTGGAGGATGGTGATTACTGTACGTATTATACAGGTGAAATTTAAGTAGCAAGTGACATATATATATAAGAAGAGCCTCCTGTCAACTGGAGTTCAGTTGAAACTTTGTATTAATTTCATCACGAAAATCAGTTCAAAAAAAAAGAAAGGAAAAAGTTATTTTAAATGAGTATAGTATATTTATTTAAATATTGTTCACTATTCTTATACATATTTAAATATGTATTGAATATTCTTACCAATGATGACTGTTGGCTTCGAACCCGACATTCTCTCCTCAAATATATTTAGCAAATATGTAAATGTTGATACCTATGTGTTTACATGCGTGGCAGTTATACTGTCTGGATTTCGGGCCGTAAAGACTCTTTCATTCATGTTCATAATTAATAAAATTCGTGTGCATATTGGCGTCTAAAAGACCCAAAATAGACGCTGTTTAAAATAATAAACCAGTAATAATCTAAAAATAATTAAGTTCAGCTAACAATTTGTCGGGAATTAATTTAAAACATCTCGTATGTAATTAAAACTCGGATATCTACTATGCGCGGTGTACCAGTTTAAAAACAAAACTTGAGATGTGAACGATGTTACATGAGTAATGGGTTTGGTGTAGATCTAGTCACCTTTTACCGGCTGGAATTGCATGTACGCTTTAATTAATCTCACTAACCTCGATGATGTTTTTAATTATTTCTCAACGGCGACAGAAAAATATGCATTATACAATAGCAAATTCCTGGTGTTTGTCTGTGTATGTGTTATGGCTGTCTCAGTTTGCTTTGTCTGACGTGTCTGTGTATGTGTTATGGCTGTCTCAGTTTGCTTTGTCTGATGTGTCTGTGTATGTGTTATGGCTGTCTCAGTTTGATTTGTCTGACGTGTCTGTGTATGTGTTATGGCTGTCTCATTTTGCTTTGTCTGACGTGTCTGTGTATGTGTTATGGCTGTCTCAGTTTGCTTTGTCTGACGTGTCTGTGTATGTGTTATGGCTGTCTCAGTTTGCTTTGTCTGACGTGTCTGTGTATGTGTTATGGCTGTCTCAGTTTGCTTTGTCTGACGTGTCTGTGTATGTGTTATGGCTGTCTCAGTTTGCTTTGTCTGACGTGTCTGTGTATGTGTTATGGCTGTCTCAGTTTGCTTTGTCTGACGTGTCTGTGTATGTGTTATGGCTGTCTCAGTTTGCTTTGTCTGACGTGTCTGTGTATGTGTTATGGCTGTCTCAGTTTGCTTTGTCTGACGTGTCTGTGTATGTGTTATGGCTGTCTCAGTTTGCTTTGTCTGACGTGTCTGTGTATGTGTTATGGCTGTCTCAGTTTGCTTTGTCTGACGTGTCTGTGTATGTGTTATGGCTGTCTCAGTTTGCTTTGTCTGACGTGTCTGTGTATGTGTTATGGCTGTCTCAGTTTGCTTTGTCTGACGTGTCTGTGTATGTGTTATGGCTGTCTCAGTTTGCTTTGTCTGACGTGTCTGTGTATGTGTTATGGCTGTCTCAGTTTGCTTTGTCTGACGTGTCTGTGTATGTGTTATGGCTGTCTCAGTTTGCTTTGTCTGACGTGTCTGTGTATGTGTTATGGCTGTCTCAGTTTGCTTTGTCTGACGTGTCTGTGTATGTGTTATGGCTGTCTCAGTTTGCTTTGTCTGACGTGTCTGTGTATGTGTTATGGCTGTCTCAGTTTGCTTTGTCTGACGTGTCTGTGTATGTGTTATGGCTGTCTCAGTTTGCTTTGTCTGACGTGTCTGTGTATGTGTTATGGCTGTCTCAGTTTGCTTTGTCTGACGTGTCTGTGTATGTGTTATGGCTGTCTCAGTTTGCTTTGTCTGACGTGTCTGTGTATGTGTTATGGCTGTCTCAGTTTGCTTTGTCTGACGTGTCTGTGTATGTGTTATGGCTGTCTCAGTTTGCTTTGTCTGACGTGTCTGTGTATGTGTTATGGCTGTCTCAGTTTGCTTTGTCTGACGTGTCTGTGTATGTGTTATGGCTGTCTCAGTTTGCTTTGTCTGACGTGTCTGTGTATGTGTTATGGCTGTCTCAGTTTGCTTTGTCTGACGTGTCTGTGTATGTGTTATGGCTGTCTCAGTTTGCTTTGTCTGACGTGTCTGTGTATGTGTTATGGCTGTCTCAGTTTGCTTTGTCTGACGTGTCTGTGTATGTGTTATGGCTGTCTCAGTTTGCTTTGTCTGACGTGTCTGTGTATGTGTTATGGCTGTCTCAGTTTGCTTTGTCTGACGTGTCTGTGTATGTGTTATGGCTGTCTCAGTTTGCTTTGTCTGACGTGTCTGTGTATGTGTTATGGCTGTCTCAGTTTGCTTTGTCTGACGTGTCTGTGTATGTGTTATGGCTGTCTCAGTTTGCTTTGTCTGACGTGTCTGTGTATGTGTTATGGCTGTCTCAGTTTGCTTTGTCTGACGTGTCTGTGTATGTGTTATGGCTGTCTCAGTTTGCTTTGTCTGACGTGTCTGTGTATGTGTTATGGCTGTCTCAGTTTGCTTTGTCTGACGTGTCTGTGTATGTGTTATGGCTGTCTCAGTTTGCTTTGTCTGACGTGTCTGTGTATGTGTTATGGCTGTCTCAGTTTGCTTTGTCTGACGTGTCTGTGTATGTGTTATGGCTGTCTCAGTTTGCTTTGTCTG